TTCAGGTCACCAAGTCCAACTCCCTGCTCTAAGCAGAAACATAAATTAAAGTATCCCTACGGATAGCTGTGTAACTTCAGCTTGAACACTTCCAGAGAAGGAGGAACCCATCAGTTCTCTTAATAACTGGTTCCACTGTTGAACTGCTTTTATTGTCTGGAAGTTTGTTTCTATCGTTCAACCAGAACCTGCCCTCCAGTAATTAAGGTCCACTTGGGGAAGGGGGGAAAAGTAAACAAAAAAATCATTTTGGCAGTTGCAACCATGTGAACAAAGCCTTGCTGCTTTCTTATGGGCATCACTTGCAACACACGTAAAAGAGGGGCAAGCTTCCATTGCATGGTGCCATCTTGACTTTTTACACACGCACACATGCTGCACCCATCCATGAATCCATCATTTCATAGCCTGCATTTCTGCATGACATACCCTCAGGATCTGACAAGTGCAATCAGGGCCTTTCCCTACTACTGAGTTAAAAAGCCACCCACCCATCCTTGAGATGCCAAAAACCAAAGCGGGCGTAGAATTGTTCCTTCCCATTACTGATCCTGCTCTCACTATGTCTCTTCTGAGTCCCCACGGAATGGAACTACCCCCACTTGGGCACAGGCCACTCATTCGAGGCAAAGAGATTGGTTTGGCTTTGCTGGTGCCTCTCTTCAACAGGTCACCAGCCATCAAGGAAAACGTCCGCCCGTCAGGGCACTGCAGCTTTTGTCAGAATAACCAGAACAGCATTGCCACATTGCCCCACAAGCTCTGCCTCTTTCAAGCATGCACATGTGGTGTGTGTGCAAAAGGGGAAGGGCTGGCATCACGATGCCACACAATTTTTGTCTGTTTGCTGCCCTCCCCAGCAGACACCACTGATGGGGACAGGCTGATCTCAGGATTTTGCCTGGAGTTCTCCGGCCAGGTTTGTCTGTCCCTCCTCCTACCTTCTGTTTGGAAGTAATTGGAAAAAAAGAAACATGGAGGAAGACACTAGGTCAGAAAGCGCCCCAGAGGGGAAGCAGGCAGAGCCTGCCATGATTGTTCAAATAAAAAAAGACTAATCCGACTTCTCCTACTATTGTCTGGATCTTACAATAAGGAAAAGCCGGGTCCCCACAGTTAAAGATACAGTTCCGAATTCAATAAAAGCAGATTAACACAAGCACATACTTATGGAGTTTATACAGTCGTCAAATACTGTGACCCCAGGCAGTGTACAACAGGTAAAAAAGTTAATAAAATAAACAATTTCTGCTAAAATGCAAAAGTTTAATAGGCGACCAGGAAATCACATTCATATGCTTCTCTATTTTTAAAATATTTTTATTAGAATTTTTCAATATAGTAAAAGTATACAAAACAAACAAAGAAGTAGAAAGAAAAAGAGAAAAAGGAGGGAAATGGGAAAAAACATACAATTATGCCTTCTACCCTTCTTTCTGTAGAGTAATTATCATCTTAATCTTTTCCTCAACCTCTTCATCCCTTTTTAATCCCCAAATCCCAAAATCATCGATTCAGTCTTTTCTCCTTTCAACAAAAAAGTCTATATAAGGTTTCCAGTCTTTCAGAAAAGTCTTTATCGTTTTTTGTCTGACCAAACTGATCAGCTTTGCCATTTCTGTAAATTCAATTAGTTTTATAATCCAATCTTCCACTGCAGGTATTTCATTACTTTTCTATCTTTTTGCATACAATAATCTTGCCGCAGTTACTCTATACCAGTGTTTCTCAACCTTGGCAACTTTAAGA